TTTGCTAATTTCATTCCCTGTATCCTGTAATTTGTTGGCAGTGATTGATTACTTAAGTGAATAATATCTATGTACCAGGACCACTTAGTAATAGAATATGCCAAGTGTGATCCTACTGTTAATAAATACAGTTTCTTTAAGGTTCCCCTCTCTGTCACGGATTTGGAGGAGCGGGGGGGGGTCGTGTCAGGGTCACAAAGGTCTTTTGGCAGCTGGAAATCCTATTTTAGTCTCTTCTTAACCACACCTTGCAAAAAACCTTCCCTTTCTGAGGGCAGCTGCCCCTCCAGCCCCCTCGATCCATGGGCAGCGCTTCAGCACCTCTCAAATCCTCATTTTCGTTTGCCAAGGGATGAAAATGGGGATATTTGGGGGGGGGTTCAGGGAATATTCTGCAGGGAATACTCTGTGACATAAATTCCACAGCCCGGGTGCCCTCAGCCAGCCCCAGTCTGGCACTGGGGACCCCCCGACATCCCGACACCCCAGACCTGGTGTCCTGGGGTTCAACCATCTCTCAAAACCCCATCAACCAGAGACAGGGCTGGGGGGTAAAGCCAGCAGAGCCCCCAACAGGCACTGCTGCTGCCTCTTCTCGGCATCTTTGAAGCATCCGCTGCTGCAAGATGAATGCAATTATACCTTAATAAAATTTTAATACAGGGAATTATGCACTTTGCATCCAACCAACAATTAGCCGTTGCTACGCTACAGCCAGAGCGCAATCACAATAATGAAGCCAGCCAAGGGAAGGCATTAATCAGGAGGTGTATCATTATCCCTCCTCGCCCCCTGCCTCCCCAGCTCCTGATTGGGAGCCTCCTGTTGCTTAAACGTGAAAAACAATCCCCAAAAACAAAGTGTGTGGGGGAGCAGCCCCTCTCTGGGCACCCCTTCCCATCCCAGCTGTGGCTTGGTTTGGCCAAGGAGCCAAAGCTGCCCCTACCCCACTGCTCCAGCACCCCCCGAAACCCCACGAGCAGCAACAAACCCCCCTTCCCCGCTCCAACTTTTACATTTTTTAATCATTTATTCCCGGGATCCAAAGGAAACATCCGACGAACCGGAGATGGGGAGAAAAATGGCAGGTGACGGAGCTTCTGCGGGTGGAAGGGGGAAGACATTCATTAATTTTTCATTCGCCGTGGCTGGGACGTGAGCAGCTCAGGATTCATCATGTCAGCAGCGACCTTGATGTTGCCTCCATCCCACCACCCTCACCCCCTGCCCCCAACAGCCCCTTGCAGAGAGTGTCCCCACCATCTGCTGAACATCACCCTGCCCTCCTGCCCACCAGAGATGGATCCCCCCCCGGGGTGGGAGGCTGGGTACCACTGCTGGGGTGAGCAGGCAGCTGAAAGCCTGAGAGATGCTCCGATGCTCCGGGGGCAGCAAAACCACCTCCCCGGAACAGGAGGAACAACCAAAATTCCTCCAGATGAACCATATGCACGACATGCAAAAAAGTCGGCGGGCAGCTTGCCTGTGGCAAAAGGGGACAAGCTTCCCATCTTGGTGTCCCCAAATACTGTCACCTTCCTCTAAAGGGAAAATAAAAATCAAATCCCACCCAGCTCACAAGATCCCCCCCACCCTACAGGGCTTCCTGCCAGGGTGGCATCCCCGCTTCTTGGGTGTTCTGCATGATTTCTCCCCAAAATCCTTCTGCTTTGGGCTCCCCAGTGCCACAATGCTTAAAAAGAGCTAAATTTGCCTTTTTTTGGGGTTGGTTTTGGTTTTTTTTGGAGATGCTGCAAGCATCAGAGCGCTCGGGCACCCTGCAATTCAGCGGGGGGGCGGAGGGAGGGTGATTATCAGCAGACGCATAATGATTCATTCTGTTTATAATTGCTCGGAAACGCGGGGAGAGCGGGGAGGTGTAATTAACTCTTCTTTATGATTGAGACGAGTGTGTTTTCCTCGGCCACGTGACGCTGCCACGTTCAGCCACGGTCGGGTTGGTTGTTTTGTTGGGGTTTTTTTTTTTTCTGGCATCCTTGGCAGTGGGAGAGCGCGTGAATTGAGTCATTCCGGGAGCGCAGCTGAAAGATATCCCTGAAACACCGTAACTGTGGGGAGGGAGGTGGATATTTATTTCCCCACAAGCCCCAGGAGGCTGCAGCTGCCCTGATTTTCCCTTGGATGTGGTGAGCAGGAGCTTACATCATCCCCTGATTGAAACAGCCCCCCATTAATTACCGCGTGGGAGCTGTCGTTGCGGCGATGCTGGCAAATGGGGAGTTGTTCCGTGGTCCCTGCCCCCGAGGATGAAGCCCGTGGGTCTGGGGTCACATCCAGGCTCTGTTTCGCAGCGTGGATCTCTCACAAAGACCCCGAGCAGGTTTGGTTTCCTCGGGTGAAGCTTGGAAGGGACAGGGGGCTGTGATGGAGAGTGCAGAGCTGTGGAGGCTCTTTGCAGAGGGAGCTGAATCACAGAATCACACAGGGTTGAAGGGACCTCTGGAGATCACCCAGTCCAACCCCCAGCCAGAGCAGGATCACCCAGAGCAGGTCCCACAGGAACGTGTCCAGGTGGGTTTGAATGTCTCCAGAGAAGGAGACTCCACCACCTCCCTGGGCAGCCTCTGCCAGGGCTCTGCCACCCTCAAAGTGAAGAAGTTCCTCCTCATGTTTAGGTGGAACTTACATTCAAGTTTGTGCCTGTTGCCTCTTGTCCTGAAGCTGGGGACCATGCAATGGAGGGATGCGGTGGGATACAGAGGGAAGGGGAGCCCCTTTCCCACACCAGCCTCACTGGAGGAGCTGGGTTGGGTGAGCTGCCTTCCCTTTTCATCCTCATCAAGGAGGCAAGAAGCCTGCATTAGCCAGGGTTAAGAAAAACAGAAAACAGACTCCCCAAAAATGGACAAGATCCAGCTTGACTTCGGGATCTTCCCCTGGTGCTTCCTCTCCATCCATCACGTGTCAGCCCTGGACGGGACACAGAGGGGATGGTTGCCCAACCCATCTATCAGGGACGTCTGGAGCAGATTCAGCCACGGGGTTTGTTTTGGGGCTCCACATCAAATGATTTCTCCTCTCTGGCTCTCCAGATGTCACCGTGTCACTCGAGCCCAGCTCCTCGCCACCTCCCGGATCAGATACTGGTTCAGGCAAAGTGATAAGTGACCCCAGTGGGTCAGGATGAGGCCAGCAGAGCGGAGGGTCAGCACAGCACATAGGGTCCCAGGGGTCACCCAAGGAACCTGCCACCCCCTGCACCTCTGCTGGGAGGGGGGCTGAGAGAGTTGGGGGGTTCAGCCTGGAGAAGAGAAGGCTCCAGGGAGACCTCAGAGCCCCTTCCAGTCCCTCAAGGGGCTCCAGGAGAGATGGGGAGGGACTCTGGATGAGGGAGGGGAGCCCTAGGAGGAGGGGGAAGGGTTTGACACTGAAAGAGGGGAGATGGAGATGTGGGGAAGAACTTCTTTGGTGTGAGGGTGGCTCTGGATTAGACTTTGCTTCCCCTGCAGGTGACTTTGCCACCAGGCAAGTGTTCCATCTACATTAATCTTTCCTTTTTATTCTTTTTTTTCACAAAAGCATCAGTGTGTGGCACAGACAGCCCGTAGAAGGCTGTACAAATCAGGGAAGGCACCTTCACACCACACGAGCTTTCTTTTTGACTAGTGATGGGTCCCCACGGGTCCCCCACCGCTCCCAGCACCCCCAGCCAGGCGCGGGGGGCACCCCAGGGTCCCGCAGGTTGGAAGTGACCCCATCCCACCAGTCACCCCGGGCTGGGAGGGGGGTGGAGGGGGGGTGCCAAATTAGTTCTCTTTGCAGAAAAAAAT